TAAACGAACCACGAAAGAAAAACTATTTTCATTCGCACATTTTTTTTTGTGTTTTTTTTTTAGTACAAAAAAGTTCTGACCTCTTATGCGATTCAAAGATTTATTTTAAAACATCACAACAGCAATCGCGGATACTGAATAGTTCGACTAAAATCGAAAAGTTTTAATTTTTGTTTGTTGTTGTTGTCGTTGTTGTTTTTTTGGTATAATAAGGCGGAAACAATTCAGGAAATGAAGAATGGCTTACGTTCGCTTAATTACGAACGAGAGTACGATAGCAGCGTAGACAGCCTTGCTTTATTATACAATTTTAGCCGCCTTTTCGAAATTCATTCATAAAATGGATTAAGTTTCATGCTGATGTTGATGATGATTTACACAAACAAAGAGAAACTCAAAGCATGCAACGCGACGCATACACGGCATGCAGTATAATGTATTGCACCGTTACTGTGCATAAAATATTTGTAATTATGTAACTTAGCAAATCGGAAAGTAATATTAAGTATAGCAATTTACGCGCATTACATAGATAGCTGTATAAATGGTTGTAGCTCGACACTTGCATTATAAATTGAAAACTTTCTCATCCCAATACAATTTCAATAATATTAAATTAATTAAATTATCAAATTTGTTCTTATTATCTCTCTCTTAATTTATAAAATAAATTAATCGTTCGCCTCGCTAATCGACCGCATGATGATATTGATGATATTGAAAGATGAAAACATCTGCAAATCAATGAATGGCGAAAATAATTGAAAATTATTTTGAATACTATTCGTAATCAGCGAGCGTGTAATTTTTTTTTTTTTTTTTTTTCTTTTTTTGCTATCGTTATTCATTGCAAAATGTAAAGACTGTATCGGGCCTTCTTTAATCATGAAACTTTGCAAATGGAATGCAAATTGAGGACCCTCTACGCGAGGTCTATACATTATTACTAAGGATGATAAACAAGAATGCTTTTAATCGCATCTCTCTTTCTCTCTACCAGCGCGCGCGCTTGCCCAGTTAAATCACTTGTAGATTACGAAAAATCTACGGAATCGAATTAAGTACTCGTTCGCAATTATCGGAAGAAGGTTATAAATAATTCGGCGTATGGAGGACGTACGCGCAACGTAATCCTAGAATGTTACGAATTTAATTAAAAATATGATTTCAAGTAGCGTACAAACATCTTTTACAGATCATATCTTCATTTCGATATATATATCTACACATGGATATATACATGCGTATAAAAGTAATTAATATCTACGTTTTTGTCGTATCTCTCTCTCTCTCTCTCTCTCTCTTCATGATTATGTGCAGGAAATATAATTTTCTAAGAAATGTGGAAATGTAGTCGAATTAATATTACGACCATTTTGTGAGCTGGACCCACCCCGTTTATTATATAGGGGTTCTCATGGCGACAAAGCCTAATTTTTTGTGACTTGTTATGACGAAAGCAACTGAAGCTTTGAGAAGTGATTAAATGAACTTTGCTAAATTTGGACCACGTTGACGTTTGAGCAACCTCCAACATTGGAGCCTCCACGAATGCATGAATTATGCACTTACATAAAAATAATGTATGATAGTTAAAAGAAACGATGTAGGCTCGGCATTGTTCGTAATTATTGCCATATATCGCTGGACGAATGCGAAACAAATCGTTACGAATAAATTGCATCGAATAGTATCCTATCATAACTTGCATGGATGTACTACGAGCTATGAACAAATCGATATAAATGAACTGAATAAGGATCGAATACCAATTCAAAATATGATCGTGCTACGTTCATTATCAAGGACAGAATACAAAAATATATTTATCCCCATCGCGCCAAATATATCATCGACATTGACCAATGAACTATACTGCGATGCTTTAAATTGAAATTTCACTAGACTTACATTACGATGCTACACATAATTCGTTCAACCCTATCCTCTGCGTCCTGGATTGTAAACGCATTATAGTACTGAATATGATTTATAGCAGTAAAGATCCGAAATTCACTTATGAGATGATTTTCTTCCAAGTGGTAAAAACGAAATTCAATTTTCGGCTTCCATTCTGAATTACGGAAGTTGGAAGATGGGCAAAACTAAATTAATTTTCATAAAGTAATTAGTTAAAAAAAAGAAAACAAATTTTTTTTCTTTCTTTCTGTTATATTAATATAATTAAACAATTTATGGTTTCGATGCATCACAGCAGCATTTATATATTATATATGTATATGTGTAGTATATATTAAATTTATGCATAAATTATAACTCATATTGTTTTATGTATATCGAGGCATGTGCATATATATTTACCATATACATATACAGATACATATTGAAGCGGAAGTCAACAATTTCCGTTTGTTTTACTTTGGTTGCGTTTGTCTTAATAAGAATCGAATTCTTTGGAAATCCCCATATAGTTTTCGTTTCGTGATGTTGTGTGCAAATTGTATGCATGCGAAGTCAATTATGTAAATGAGTTCAAACTCCTCTGTCATGCTTATATTACAAAGAAGCCAATATACGTATATCCATCCATTCATGCGTTCGGTTCATAAATTCCTATGTAAGTGCATAAATCAGTGTAGATAACGGTTAAAGTATGAATCGATTACAAATGAATCAGTGATAGGAGAATTTTTCATTGTGATTCATATATAGATATTGTGAGCCATCCACAATCAGTGAGTCATCCACAGAAAAAGGTAACTAAACAGAGAAAAGGTCACTAAAAAGCTTCGCTTATGTATACAGATAATATAAACAAACGTATATATATATATATATATGTATATATAAAAATTTGTTACATATCCTAACGATAACTTCCGTTACTGATTCATAGAGAAGGACAACACACACTTCACACTTCATCATATGCGATGTTAGATGTCTAGAGCTGGTATATTCGTAACACATATATATTTCATGTGTATGCAAGAGTTCTCCACTTATAATACTCATCTCATCTGGTCTACGCCTATTACTAAGGGGACAAGCAAGTGCAAATTTTTCAGAAAAAAAAGAAGAAAAGCTGCATGTTGTTGTATTCAATACATGCTTTGAATCATCGAGAAAATCATCTGTGGAAAAATCTGGATGGAATCATCTGTGTGGAAAAAAATTTCATTATGAGAAAGAATTTTTTTTATTTTTTTTTTTTTTTCAAATTTCGAGCTTCTTCCTTAAATCATATGCGTGCTGATGAGTTACAAGCTGATGTCTTACCTATTAGTTTATAACTTCGCTGACCACATTTCAAGCAAAAACACGATAGCGTAATTTCATCGAGACAACTGTTAAGTGTCGAGTAGATATCATACTGAGAGCGATTCGAAAGGTATCAATGCTTCTACCAAGAAATGAAAATTTTACTATAGAGCTATATATATGGTTTCTTGTCGTTTTCCTTGCGATTGTGCCTTTCACAGATGCGACGGAATACACCTCGTCGGGGAAAAAAAATATTCGAAGGAAAAGAATGAAGAACTTGGAATTGCATAAAATAGATAAAAAAATTTATTTTTTTTTTTTTTTTTTTTTTTTTGGGTATGTTGAAAAGAGATGGACTAAGCCAATAGATTTGTGGCTTATATGTCCAAAAAAAAAAAATTTATTGTTATAAAAAAATACGTTTGTAATAAAATGTTCATAATTTTAAATAAATTTTTTGTCGAAACACATCTTTCCAAAATGGTTAACATAACTCCTAGAATTTACTATATAAATTTTGATATTTCATTAGAAAATTACTTCGTAAATTGTATTAGACAAAATGGTACAGTCTACACTCTACTAGAATAGTCGGCCTTTGCTGTTGTAAGTTGCTTGACGATATACAAAAAACTTATTCATATCTTATTGCTCTTTCATAAATAATTTCATAACTTCGTTTACACCTTCGTAACAAAGTCCATGCAGCGTGTGGTGCGAAAATTTCTTTTTTAGTCGGCGGAAGCGAGCCTTGGACAGTCAAGGGCACTGAATTAACCCCAAAACAAGAATATATTTTGTATCTGATGAAATTTGAAAAAAATAGTCTCATAAGAGTCACACCATACCACAGCTTCTTGAGGTTAACGAATTAGAAAAGCCTTGAAAGGCTTTCAGCAGAAAAAGCGTTATTTGTCTAGCGATTGTGTAAATGTCGTTACGACTTCGATGGAATATTGTGATGCCTTCACCATCTAAAGTCGATCGCAAAAGTTACACCTTTGCACTTTCGCAAAATTATTGGCTCTTGTCAATGAGATGTAATCAGGCATATACCCAGATCCCGGAGGAATCAAATTATCTATTTATAAGAGTTAACGGAAATCTGCATATTTGCTAAATATTTTAAAGTCACTCGACCCACGCGGCAGATTGAAGTGACTTCGAGGTGTAAGCATTTGATTGCATAGCAAATCAAAAAACACCGAAGAAAATTAAAAACTTACACTGTCTCTTGTCATTTTCTTCTTGTTTTTTTTTTTTTATTTCAAATTTTTGTTTCAAGTTGGCTGGAAAATGCATACGCTTGCATTGTTCTCTAATGTTACGGATTACAATAAATGTGAATCGCAACGCATCACGTAACCGAATGTCGGATTAAATGACTAACTAAATGACTGACTGACTGACTGACTGACTGACTGACGCGCCAGCTAGTTGAAGGCCTAAATACTAAATATGAGAGCAGGTATGATCTCAGCAGTTAACCAGAGTAGCGTAACATAAAGAGGCAAATAAATAAATGCAACATTTCACATCCGGTAATGTCATACGATGGAATTATCGGTAAGACGGTAACAAATAGACTTTACCCATACCATGTGTATGGGAATGGGAAATGAGCGTAAATGAATGAATGAATGATTCATGCGAAGTCACCGATATTTTAAGTGCTTTGAATGCTTTGAATAAAATAGATTTGAATTTGTACCTGGACTTAAAAGCTAATACAAAAGACTGCAAAGGAATGAATTAATCATTTATTTTCTTTACAGATGGCTTTTCCAGTTTTCGGCAAACATTTCCAGAATGGTGTGAAGACGATAGCCCGCAAAACAAAGAAATGGAATCTAGTCGCAATACACAAACAGATCAGTTAATGGGTTTAAGGTAATGCGAATCTTGCTTGTACTCACTCACTCATCAATGTTAGCAAATATGCAAAAATCACTCTCCAACCCCATCTTGTAGCGATGTATGCAAAACCTGCAAAAATTTGCGATTTTATCCTGTTTTACTATACCAATCAATTTCATTAGAATCATTCGCTAAATCGATTTAGATCCCTCTGTCCGTCAGTCCGTCTGTCTGCTGGTCCCCGTCTATCTATTTATGTATTTTTTTTTGCGTTCAACTTACCAGGCTGCAATGTTCGGGATCTCGACCCAACTTGCCACAAAGATGCATCCAATCCTATTGAAAAAGGATTGTATCGAACAATTTTTACAATCGCTTCCAAAAGTGATGAAAATTGGAAACATTTTCAACCAAATGAACTTTTCAGTTTACTCAGAATTTCCAAATACAATCGGAGCAATTGTTTTTTTTGTCGCTCACACATCTATCTATCTATCTATATATATATATATATATATATAATTTGAGTAAACTTCCTCTTAAGATAGCTTAATACGATTATAATGTTTTTAAAGTTGAAATATTTTTTTAATTTTTTAATCGATTTTTGCCACTTTTAAAAATTCAATAATAGGGAATTGACAGGGGCGACCAGGCATTGCATTCAAATTTGAGAAGATTTGAATTCATATCATCTTGCATGTATGATGCTACGCATATTAATCTAATCTAGTCTCAATGCATATATAATAATAAATTTTAATTGTATTGATTATTATAGATCCCTTAGAATATCTACTCCTCATTCCGATTCCGCTTGTAGTAGTTCTGCAGAGTCATCCGACTGTGAGGGTTCGACACATCATAATTTCAATGAAGCTCCTGTAGAAATAATACCTGGACTATTTTTGGGCAATGCCATGCATAGTTGTGATGCCAGAGCTTTGCAAAAATACAATATAAAAGTAACTGATCTACCGTGCTTTCGACTTTTATAGCATTTTACTTACTATAATAATATTTCGTCTATTCCTTTAGTATATATTAAATGTAACCAAGGATCTTCCAAATGTCTTTGAAGCTTCGGGCGGCATACAATATTTGCAAATACCTATTACTGATCATTATTCTCAAGATTTAGCGATGCATTTTCCAGCTGCCATACAGTTCATTGGTAATGCTATAAATTTTTTTTTTTTTTTTTTTTTGTATTTGTAATTTGCAAAAACAGAAAAAGTTAACGCCAGTCTCTCTTTCTTAATAGAAGAAGCTCGTTCCAACAACTCTGCCGTACTAGTTCATTGTTTAGCTGGTGTGTCGCGTTCTGTGACGGTTACTTTGGCCTATTTAATGCGAGCCTTGGATTTATGCTTAAACGATGCTTTCACTTTGGTACGTGACCGTAAACCGGATGTGTCACCCAATTTTCATTTTATGCAGCAATTGCACTCGTTTGAACGTCAACTGGGCTTAAATAGTAACGAATGCACGGAAATGGATGATAGTAGCATTGGCAGTGCGTCAACAACGCTTGCCGGTTCGCCGAAATCCGGTGTTAGCATGTCCTTAGGCTCATCACATTGTAATTCATCTAAATTCTCTTGTAATTGCATAGCAACTGATTGTAAGTGTATACCAACGCCCAATTATATCGCGCAATTAGCCAAAGCAGCTACCGGCATATCACCCGATTCGGGCATCGAATTTGATCGATGGACACCTTCGGCGGATACCGGACTTAAATGAGAACAACTTGTAGGAAAAAGTTTTGTACTTCCTCCGAACAACAATGAGCCGCCAATGGCTTTAAATGCCGATAATGTGTCACCTGCTTCCACCAACTCTTCCTCAACATCTACCAATACAACAGCTGAGGCAGTGTCGGTTATTGAATTACATCATAGGAATGCAACAACTACAGAAGAGTAATATTAATTAACTGGAAAGTTAGTACAAAACTTTTTTCTACTTGTACAAAACGAAATACATATAAAATAAGAACTCTGTATCCCACCTTCATCATCGCAATACATATTTTTTGTCTCTCGCATAAAATCCCATACACATATACATATTTTCTATGTATAATATATATATGTACATATATATATATGTACATATGTTTGTTTGCATATACATATATACATATACATATACACACACACACACATATATATATATATATATATATATATATATATATATATATATATATA